CAACCTTTCCATATTGTATGAACCTCGTTATACTGGCTAAATTTCGTCCTATATACAAAAGTTGGGTGTTTTTGTAATCATTTTGGGAATGCCTTAATGACGTCTCGATGTAAACGCACCTGCTCCCGAACATAACTAACTAGTAATTCACATATTTAATGACGCGCTGTAGCAATGATGTTCAAGTTCAATATCATATCCAGCACATCTCAGTTTAAACAACCGGAACCAAATCCAAACACGCCGACTATTCATCGCGAGAAATTGTTCCTCCTCGAGAGGAGTAGACGAAAACCACATAAAATGTACATATTCTAACGTCAATTTTTAGTCAACTATATTTCATACATGTATTTTCCGTTCTTTATCGAATCCACTTGTTCATAAGTGAGGAAGTTGATAATGTGTTTAAAATCGTGAACACAGAAAAAAAAATCAATTCGGATGCACGCGGAGTGTACTTACATTGTACTTACTGTGACGTAAAAACAATATACAGCTAGTCGGAATTTCAGTTATATAACTTTATGTTTCTAATAAAGCAAAACCAAACACAAAAATCGGTATAAAAGGCAGCACCACATGAATATATGAATAATAATACATTGGTATTAAACACAAGGGAAATAGTAAAACGGGGTCCATGTTGGATTGTCGTAATATGTTCATCAAACTTCGTCGCGTGTCCGTTTGATTGTTAATTAAAAGTGTATTAATCCTTTCCGGCTAACACAAAGATAACTCCCTATTAACTTTTGTAACACAAGCCAATGGGACATCTGACGAAATACCAAGCCTTACATATGTCTTTTCTAGATTGACATTGGATGAAGCTACAGTCTCGTATCTCTAAACGACAGTTTTATATTTTATCACGTCGGGACGATGAAGATTCTATGATTACTTATACAATATACACGGTAATACTGATTACCTCATTCTCAAACTGAACTCTTAAGATAGGCTTTAATCCGTACTGTGCTTAGAACGCCAACACAAGGGGTATTGTGCTTTTCTACGCAATGTCGTAAATATGACGAAAAAAGGAAAAACATACATATGTGTATATATTTATTTACCAAAACATATGGATATATTTATTGTTTATTGCAATATGTCATTTTCTGTAATGGTTGTAATATTTCAAACTTTGTAAGCGCCAAGAAAGGAGGAAATAATCATTTCCCGAGGCGGAAGTAAAAAGATAGTGCATTTTAGCCGACTTAATTGCCCGGATAAGTGGAACTTATTATCACGATAAGTCGAACTGTAGACTTTATTATTGTTATCTCCGGTTATTGATGGGATCGATTACTGTGGTTAGGTAGGCGGATCCCTTGGTATATTGTTTATACATTTGTATATTACCTCCTTTTGGCTCATTGTGACGTCATAATTGCCTAGCGTGGCGTCGTATTGAAAGCATCATGATACGAAATCAATATGATAACAATGAGAGGTATTTGATAAATTGCTAAGCTTTGTCAGATTGTCCCTTCTTTGCCATTACAAAACATGTTTATTTATATATAAACATATATATGTAAACAATAAATAATGTTTCTCACAACTGTTTCGAAACCAACACAACAGAGTGAATCCAATTTAACATTACTGGAAGACATGCCTGTAGGTAAATCGGCCCAAATTACTGCTCATATTTGAATGAGTATTTTTTAAATATTTTGAATGGGGAATGAATGTGTGTACTTTATCATAGTTTAGTTTAAGAAACGATTTTGTTGTTGTATTGTCGTATTATTTTATAAAGTCAAAAATGTCAAATGTAATTCAGTTTGTTCCGGTCTCTCTTATAACCTACTTCATAAAAACGATCTAAACTATTACAAATCGAATTCTGTTACACAGAGTTCTGTTACCTCCTATATCAACAGCTTCCAAGCTTCCAGCTTATAACCAATCGTTGTCGGAAAGAAATCAATCATAAAAATGATTAATCACCGTTCCCGACTCTAAAATTAATACATTTTGCCCGCTTCCGTTAGACATGGCCCGGCTATTACTTTCGTCATTATCACCGGTAGTCATTAGGCGGCGATATCACACGTGTTTTCACTGGCTGCTATAATCAGTTATACTGTGTAAAAACAATATAGATCGTGTATAAAGCTGATGAAATACATTAAAATATTTCCTCTCAGAGATGTTTTGTTAAGACCATTATACAACGAAATCTTTGCAACATGGTTGTAAAAATAACAAAATAGGCCTACAGACATGTCAAAAGAATCCTCAAAATTCGGCGAACCTAATGCAAAATATAAACAAAAGAAAAATTACATGGAGACCATTGAAAAAGTACCAGAATAAAACCAGGTGCTCCGGAAGAGTAATTAAGCGTCTTGTGTTTCATGGACGACATCCGCATGTTAATCTTGGTTCAACCCAGTAAATGTATGTAATGTCACGTTCTCAAATGAAAACAAGGTAAACAACAGCAGTACCAACAGACATACTCTAACGAGTATCAAACACGTCCTTCTTCATATCCCACACAGAAATAGGACATTTCCAAATCCTCTTCATCAGCCTGCATGTTTGTTAGTTGCCGACATCCTGCACAAAAGTCACGATATTGTAAACATAGGTTGTGGATGCAGGGAGGTTGCTACCGAGAAATGTACATTTTACAATAGGGAAATTAAAACCATCACGTTTGTCATAAATCTTGGTGGAAAGCTGTCCTTGTTTCGTTGGAGGAAAAGATCGAGATGACGGCTGGTATAGAAGAGATTATCGTGTCATTGATTTCCAATCCTGGTGAGGAATCTTTATCTAAACACCAGACATCATAGCTATATTTGAAAGTTATTGCAGGAATTCACAAGGTCTTTGTGATCTGTTTTGATGAGCTCTTCGATAAATTCAGCCTCGTATGAAAACAATATCAGGTCATCCAAGAAAGGGGCACAGTTATTTCCCATAGGTATGCCACTAGTCTGTTACAAGATCTTACTACCAAACTCGACGAAGATGTTGACATCCAGGAATTCGGCCATTTTTATGATTTTATCCTCCGTATATTTCTCATTTTTTTGTCTGAACGTATTATTCATGAAAGAAGACACTTACAACAAGATAAGGATGAAGGCGTCTGTTCAGTTTAGTATGTGGTATGGTAGTGTACAGAGTTGAAAATTGTATTATCAAGTACATTTATCGTGTACAAGGTATGTCATTTTCCCCCATCACGGATCATTATCTCCCCTTTATGTAAGTGACAATCTCAATTCACCTCTCACTCTGTTTTATGACTACTTCCGGTCACATTTTCTCGATATTCACTATGTAATGTAACCACGCTGCCCAAGGACATATCAACTATCTTTGAACATTGACAACTTTAAGTCACATCGCTCCTCTGTGTGATTACCTCATATCATTTCTCCCATACTCACTATTAAAGGTCACGTCTCTCCTCTATGTATCGTGACTACCTCATATCACCTCTCCCAGTGTGACTAATAAAGGTCATGTCCCTCCTCTCTGTACCGTGACTACCTCAAATCACCTCTCCCAGTGTAACTACGAAAGGTCACAACCCTCCTCTATGTACCGTGACTACCTCAAATCACCTCTCCCAGTGTGACTAATAAATGTCACGTCCCTCCTCTATGTATCGTGACTACCTCATATCACCTCTCCCAGTGTGACTAATAAATGTCACGTCCCTCCTCTATGTATCGTGACTACCTCATATCACCTCTCCCAGTGTGACTAATAAAGGTCACGTCCCTCCTCTCTGTACCGTGACTACCTCAAATCACCTCTCCCAGTGTGGCTACTAAAGGTAACGTCCCTCCTCTATGTATCGTGACTACCTCATATCACCTCTCCCATTGTGACAAATAAAAGTCACGTCCCCCTCTATGTACCGTGACTACCTCAAATCACCTCTCCCAGTGTGACTAATAAATGTCACGTCCCTCCTCTATGTATTGTGACTACCTCATATCACCTCTCCCAGTGTGACTAATAAAAGTCACGTCCCTCCTCTCTGTACCGTGACTACCTCAAATCACCTCTCCCAGTGTGACTAATAAATGTCACGTCCCTCCTCTATGTATCTTGACTACCTTATATCAGCTCTCCCACTGTGCCTATACTTACATTGTCCCATCACGTATACGGTACTCACAAAAGGCAGTTCCTTGTAATACTGCACATGTCTGAACACCATGTACAACTAATACTCAAATTATGAAAGGTGTATCCTTTAGCTTTATTCATGACCAACGGGAACATGAAAAATGTTTGACCAAATATTGAATTCTTGCCAACTGTGTAAATAACTAGCTGAAGAATCAAGATGGAAAACTTTTAAGAGTATTAAAGAACATGAAATTAATGGTATTTGATGGCAACACGATCATGTAGATATTTTATTGACGTACAACGTATGACACAAACTGTTAAATTCCTGAAGTAATCCGATAATTTAATAACTTCTACAGTATATATCTGAAAAAAAGACTTAAACCACAAAGCTACACCTCTGATTACGGAAAAGACCACTTAAACTGATTTACGGGTATAGTTCGTTAAAGTGATACTATTAAAACTTACTGGTATTTAATATTCTGACATAATTTTAATTGGGATATACAATTAAGACACTTTATACTATCAACAAAACGTGTCGGTTTAATGATACAGAATGTCACACATTTAAAACGGATATAAAGGAAAAGATCATTTTCTTTTTCATCCCCTGATTGAAGTTAGTCTCCGCTTAAACTGCCTTTCAGAGGTATTTGAACTCGCGAAAATATTATTATATTATCAAAAAATCACACACAACTGTAGTATTTGCTGTCTTATTTCTTAAATTCTTTAATTGGTTGCTTTATGTTGGTATATGGTGGAGCAGATGTTGCTATAACGACGTAGATATAGATTATGATATTTGGTGGCGTGCTACCCCGAAATGAAAGTGATGATGATTTGTTATGAGTAATCTCCCTTGTAACTTTCTAACCATGCGGTACGTATACAACTCGGCTGTTGCAATTAACCGTTGAAAACATTATAAACGTCATATTCTTTGAGCTGAAATCGAGCACAACTTTGATACAGGAAATTTCTTTTCCCCTCCGTGTCACTAACTTGGCGTGACACGTTTTCTTTTTTCTTCTGGCTGCGTAGTTTAATGGAGCACATGGTCTCCGCAATCCGCCATGATGTGTTGTTTACGTTTTCAGTATCAGAATCTAGCGCAATTACTAGCAAAACACAAGCCACCAAATTCTCTGTGAAACACAACACATTTATTTTTCACAATTTTCTAACAGTTTCATCTTAGTTGTCTTTTTTCAGTAAGTAATTCTGTCTTTGTCCTAAATCGACACGCTCTGCATCATCAGCAACATAATTAGTTTTATATGGGGTTTTTATCTCTTAAGTTTGAAGGTAATTAACTAGGTTGAAAGTGCTGAAATAGATTTAGAAGGTACAATTGGACATATCAGACACTCTCCTCTCAAAAATTCTACCTACTTTTACTTGTTTTCATGGGGTGTAACATTCTTGTACCAGCTAGGGTCATACGAGGACAAGTGTCAGTAGGTACAAAGATAGAAAAAAAGAAAGAAAATTTAGATCTCGAGTGTTGTATGGTTGACAGTAACTTTGGTCTCTTTTATGGCCGCTTGGTTGAGTGTAGACTTACCATTACACACTAATTCACTTCTAGTGCATGGGGAAAACACTTCTAGTTCACAAGAAAAAGACTACAGGTAAACTAGAATGCACTAGGGTCCACACAGGTAATATAAAAAAAATCCCTGATATGTAATGGGTAGAACCTTTGACCTCCCAAGTGAGGATTGTCCACTTCTGCATGCTGAAGATCCCCTTGTGACTTTCCATAAAAAGAGTAGGCATGATAATGCTGCTGCAGTGATAGACTGTACAATCATTTTTAAGACATTACACGGACTTCAAATATTACCCTACTGCAAACCAAAACTAGATAGGCCCTGGACTCTTCCTTTCAGCTTCTGGACACATTTTAATTGCTAGAGTTAGGATAAGGCACTATTAGGCCCTGGAGCTGTCTTCTAAAGCTAGTGTAGTCAAACGATCACCGCAACAGATGGTTCCATCCAACTGAGGGGGATGCAGGTCACCCCCTCAAATTGCCAGAACACTTGTTAGTGAGACGATACCCGGACACAGGAGGGGTTGCAGAGACAAAACACCTGTCCACCAACCTGTGGCCTCCTGGTATTTCAGCCCCGAGAAAATCCAACCCAAGGCTGCCTGTGGTTTTACCATTACAGCTTTAGAGAGATACATTTATTGTGCCTTATGTTGCAGTACCACCAGTTTGGTACCATATCATTACATAAAATGTAGTAAAGCAATCTGGTTATTTCTGGTGATTTATTAAGAGATATAGAATGATAATGTTTGATATGGAATCTTGTTTGCATTTAATGCTACTGGATGAGTTCCTCTGATTAAATAAAAGAAAAAAAAGATGGGATGATAGCTGATAAAAGTTCACGATAGATAACGTTTAGTTTAAAACATGTTTGAAGTTTTCTTTTCTTTAAATCAGCTTTTAAAAAGTTTCTTTAGTATGCTAGATTTTATGACATAAGACTACATGCATGAAATATACATGATTTAATCTTAATGTTTTTCTCTTATTTCATCTTGTCATGTATCAGAATTCATTCATACAATATATTACTATATGTATAGTCACTTCCTAGGTTAAATGTTTTGATATGGCCTTGCAGAGTGACAGGAACAACAGATCGTGTGAGAGGCTCCCTCTGCCTCAGCGATGGAAGTAAATTTGATGGAGAGTTATTTGGGGAGCCGTGTGACATTGCAGGAGAAGTCGGTAAGTAAATTTTGATGCAGAATTATTCGGGAGCTTTGTGACATGGCAGGAGAAGTCGGTAAGTGAAATTTGATGCAGAATTATTCGGGAGCTTTGTGACATGGCAGGAGAAGTCGGTAAGTGAAATTTGATGCAGAATTATTCGGGAGCTTTGTGACATTGCAAGAGAAGTCGGTAAGTGAAATTTGATGCAGAATTATTCGGGAGCTTTGTGACATTGCAAGAGAAGTCGGTAAGTGAAATTTGATGCAGAATTATTCGGGAGCTTTGTGACATTGCAAGAGAAGTCGGTAAGTGAAATTTGATGCAGAATTATTCGGGAGCTTTGTGACATTGCAGGAGAAGTCGGTAAATAAAATTTGATGGGGAATTATTCGGAGAGCCGTGTGACATTGCAGGAGAAGTCGGTAAATAAAATTTGATGGGGAATTATTCGGAGAGCCGTGTGACATGGAAGGAGAAGTCGGTAAATAAAATTTTATGGAGGATTATTCGGGTAGCCTTGTGACATTGCAGGAGAAGTCGGTAAATAAAATTTGACGGAGAATTATTTGAGGAGCCTGAAGCATGAATGCCATATGGTAATAAGAAATATGAATAAAACTGAAATTTCAGAAAAAGCAAAAAAAATCTTCCATATGAGCACAGATGGATGAAGAAGTCAGATTATATAGTCCTTGAAAATTCAATACAAAAGAATTAAACGACCTGTCAAGTAGGAATTTCCTATCAGATCTAAATTAAAGCTGACACATTCATTACAATAAGTAGCATGCTTCCCAAAGTTGAAACTCTGGTAGAAAGAATGTTTCATAATTAAATCAATTTTTTTCAACTGATAAAAATAAGACGATACCTGTTGAGCTCATAGTCATATTCATTTTTGTGCAAAGTCTAAATATTGAATCAATATTTCAGTATTTCAGACTGGGATGGTTGGATACCCAGAATCTCTCACAGACCCCTCATACAGGAAGCAGATACTTATCTTAACATACCCACTGATTGGGAACTATGGTGTACCATCAGATGAAGAGGATGAGTTTGGACTCCGAAAGTGGTTTGAGTCTGCCAGGATCCATGTTGCAGCTCTGATAGTGGCTGATCTTTCCCAGGATTACAGCCATTGGGGAGCTACTAAATCCCTGTCTGACTGGCTTAGAGAGTACAAAGTACCTGCCTTATATGGTAATTTTTTTATCACTTTGTATAAATCCTTCACTAACAATACAAATGTACATGTACATTATCTGGATTAAAGAACAAACTGATGAAATGGAAATTGAAATAATGACTATCTTAAATATCTTATCTTTGGTAACTTATGATGAAGGATTTTGTTTCTTGGTTAATCAAGTTGAAAGCTAGTTTTAGAGGAGAGCTTGTTACTGGGTTGATCATGGCTGTAGGCTAGCGTAAGGTGAAAGAGCTTGTTGCCGGGTTGATCATGGCTGTACGCTAGCTTAAGGTGATAGAGCTTGTTACTGGGTTGATCATGGCTGTAGGCTAGCGTAAGGTGATAGAGCTTGTTACTGGGTTGATCATGGCTGTAGGCTAGCGTAAGGTGATAGAGCTTGTTACTGGGTTGATCATGGCTGTAGGCTAGTGTAAGGTGATAGAGCTTGTTGCCGGGTTGATCATGACTGTAGGCTAGCGTAAGGTGATAGAGCTTGTTACTGGGTTGATCATGGCTGTAGGCTAGCGTAAGGTGATAGAGCTTGTTACTGGGTTGATCATGGCTGTAGGCTAGCGTAAGGTGATAGAGCTTGTTACTGGGTTGATCATGGCTGTAGGTTAGTGTAAGGTGATAGAGCTTGTTGCCGGGTTGATCATGACTGTAGGCTAGCTTAAGGTGATAGAGCTTGTTACTGGGTTGATCATGGCTGTAGGCTAGCGTAAAGTGATAGAGCTTGTTACTGGGTTGATCATGGCTGTAGGCTAGCGTAAGGTGATAGAGCTTGTTACCGGGTTGATCATGGCTGTAGGCTAGCGGAAAGTGATAGAGCTTGTTACTGGGTTGATCATGGCTGTAGGCTAGCATAAGGTGATAGAGCTTGTTACCGGGTTGATCATGGCTGTAGGCTAGTGTAAGGTGAAAGAGCTTGTTGCCGGGTTGATCATGGCTGTAGGCTAGTGTAAGGTGAAAGACCTTGTTGCCGGGTTGATCTTGTATGAAAATCAGGCATTAGGGAAGGAATGGATTACTTGATTTGTGTGGAAAAGTATAATCATGACAGGAAAGTGTTTATAAATGACACTGAATGTTGTATTTATTGGCTTGGATAAGGGAAACTTGATCTGGTTTTTTCTTGCAGGGTTAGACACCAGGGAGCTCACAAAAAAAATCCGGGAAAATGGATCTATGTTGGGCAAGGTTAGTTAAACTTGACACTGCACATCATAATCTAGGTCTTTTTTGTATTCATCAATTCACAAGACCTGGTTATAATCCTGTTCACTTACTGTAAATTACTCAAGTGTTATGAATGCATGATTTTACAAATGCTGATCTAAAAACAATTTTAAATTTGCAAGTAATGTGCTGTTAGAGACATGGACTATGCATGGCTCCAATATCATTCATCAATAGCTTCATATTGGTCACCATTTTGTTTATAAGAATCATGTTACTATACCTGAAAATGTCTGCACATGTAACATGTATCTAGCTGTTTGGTTTGTGATTTTGTTTTGTGGAGTTCATTGTGGAATTAACATGGATACCATTAATTATTTCTGAGCCAAAACATTGTGAGGGATTGGAATTAGCGATTGACTTACCTCGCATTTTAAAGTGAAAATAAATCCAGTCTGATTTATAGTATTTGCAGTTTTAGTGGAAACGCTACACATCTTTATCAGTGTATTGCCATAAGCCTATGAGTTTGATTGAGAGGTAATGTTTTACAGTGTTACAATAAGCCTGTGATTTTGATTCAGAGGTTGTGTATTACAATAAGCATTTGAGTTTGATTCAGAGGTTGTGTGTTACAATAAGTCTGTGAGTTTGATTCAGAGGTTATATGTTACAGTAAGCCTGTGAGTTTGATTCAGAGGTTATGTGTTACAGTAAGCCTGTGAGTTTGATTCAGAGGTTGTGTGTTACAGTAAGCCTGTGATTTTGATTCAGAGGTTATGTGTTACAGTAAGCCTGTGAGTTTGATTCAGAGGTTGTGTGTTGCAATAAGCCTGTGAGTTTGATTCGAGGTTGTGTGTTACAATAAGTCTGTGAGTTTGATTCAGAGGTTGTATGTTACAATAAGCCTGTGAGTTTGATTCAGAGGTTATGTGTTACAGTAAGCCTGTGAGTTTGATTCAGAGGTTGTGTGTTGCAATAAGCCTGTGAGTTTGATTCGAGGTTATATGTTACAGTAAGCCTGTGAGTTTGATTCAGAGGTTGTGTGTTACAATATGCCTGTGAGTTTGATTCAGAGGTTGTGTGTTACAATATGCCTGTGAGTTTGATTCAGAGGTTATATGTTACAATAAGTCTGTGAGTTTGATTCAGAGGTTGTGTGTTACAATATGCCTGTGAGTTTGATTCAGAGGTTGTGTGTTACAATAAGCCTGTGAGTTTGATTCAGAGGTTATGTGTTACAGTAAGCCTGTGAGTTTGATTCAGAGGTTGTGTGTTACAGTAAGCCTGTGAGTTTGATTCAGAGGTTGTGTGTTACAGTAAGCCTGTGAGTTTGATTCAGAGGTTGTGTGTTACAGTAAGCCTGTGATTTTGATTCAGAGGTTGTGTGTTACAGTAAGCCTGTGAGTTTGATTCAGAGGTTGTGTGTTACAGTAAGCCTGTGAGTTTGATTCAGAGGTTATGTGTTACAGTAAGCCTGTGAGTTTGATTCAGAGGTTGTGTGTTGCAATAAGCCTGTGAGTTTGATTCGAGGTTATATGTTACAGTAAGCCTGTGAGTTTGATTCAGAGGTTGTCTGTTACAATAAGCCTGTGAGTTTGATTCAGAGGTTGTATGTTACAATAAGCCTGTGAGTTTGATTCAGAGGTTGTGTGTTACAGTAAGCCTGTGAGTTTGATTCAGAGGTTGTGTGTTACGGTAAGCCTGTGAGTTTGATTCAGAGGTTGTGTGTTACAGTAAGCCTGTGAGTTTGATTCAGAGGTTATGTGTTACGGTAAGCCTGTGAGTTTGATTCAGAGGTTGTGTGTTGCAATAAGCCTGTGAGTTTGATTCGAGGTTATATGTTACAGTAAGCCTGTGAGTTTGATTCAGAGGTTGTCTGTTACAATAAGCCTGTGAGTTTGATTCAGAGGTTGTGTGTTACAGTAAGCCTGTGAGTTTGATTCAGAGGTTGTGTGTTACAGTAAGCCTGTGAGTTTGATTCAGAGGTTATGTGTTACAGTAAGCCTGTGAGTTTGATTCAGAGGTTGTGTGTTGCAATAAGCCTGTGAGTTTGATTCGAGGTTATATGTTACAGTAAGCCTGTGAGTTTGATTCAGAGGTTGTATGTTACAATAAGCCTGTGAGTTTGATTCAGAGGTTATGTGTTACAGTAAGCCTGTGAGTTTGATTCAGAGGTTGTGTGTTGCAATAAGCCTGTGAGTTTGATTCGAGGTTATATGTTACAGTAAGCCTGTGAGTTTGATTCAGAGGTTGTGTGTTACAATATGCCTGTGAGTTTGATTCAGAGGTTGTGTGTTACAATATGCCTGTGAGTTTGATTCAGAGGTTATATGTTACAATAAGTCTGTGAGTTTGATTCAGAGGTTGTGTGTTACAATATGCCTGTGAGTTTGATTCAGAGGTTGTGTGTTACAATAAGCCTGTGAGTTTGATTCAGAGGTTATGTGTTACAGTAAGCCTGTGAGTTTGATTCAGAGGTTGTGTGTTACAGTAAGCCTGTGAGTTTGATTCAGAGGTTGTGTGTTACAGTAAGCCTGTGAGTTTGATTCAGAGGTTGTGTGTTACAGTAAGCCTGTGATTTTGATTCAGAGGTTGTGTGTTACAGTAAGCCTGTGAGTTTGATTCAGAGGTTGTGTGTTACAGTAAGCCTGTGAGTTTGATTCAGAGGTTATGTGTTACAGTAAGCCTGTGAGTTTGATTCAGAGGTTGTGTGTTGCAATAAGCCTGTGAGTTTGATTCGAGGTTATATGTTACAGTAAGCCTGTGAGTTTGATTCAGAGGTTGTCTGTTACAATAAGCCTGTGAGTTTGATTCAGAGGTTATGTGTTACAATAAGCCTGTGAGTTTGATTCAGAGGTTGTATGTTACAATAAGCCTGTGAGTTTGATTCAGAGGTTGTGTGTTACAGTAAGCCTGTGAGTTTGATTCAGAGGTTGTGTGTTACAATAAGTCTGTGAGTTTGATTCAGAGGTTGTGTGTTGCAATAAGCCTGTGAGTTTGATTCAGAGGTTATGTGTTACAGTAAGCCTGTGAGTTTGATTCAGAGGTTGTGTGTTACAGTAAGCCTGTGAGTTTGATTCAGAGGTTGTGTGTTACAGTAAGCCTGTGAGTTTGATTCAGAGGTTGTGTGTTGCAATAAGCCTGTGAGTTTGATTCGAGGTTATATGTTACAATAAGCCTGTGAGTTTGATTCAGAGGTTGTATGTTACAATAAGCCTGTGAGTTTGATTCAGAGGTTGTGTGTTACAGTAAGCCTGTGAGTTTGATTCAGAGGTTGTGTGTTACAATAAGTCTGTGAGTTTGATTCAGAGGTTGTGTGTTGCAATAAACCTGTGAGTTTGATTCAGAGGTTATGTGTTACAATAAGTCTGTGAGTTTGATTCAGAGGTCAGAGGTTATGTGTTGGCACTCTGTTCTTATTACAATAGGTTTCTTATATATATTTTCCGATTTCTTGCCATAGTTTAAAAATTGATCAAGTCGTTTTGTAGAAGTTGAAAGTATTGAATCCCCTACAGAACTTTTGCATAGTCCCATGATGTGACTATCAGATGTCAAAGATTTATTCTTCAGTTCATAATTAAGACAAACTCTTAATTTTCTTGAAAGTAGTCAATGTTTATTCCTCTCAACTTTAGATTAAATTACAAAAATACAAAAAGTGGTTAAAAATATTTAAAAAAAAACAACAAAAATATTTAGTTTTTTGAGCATGTACATACTTAATGTTAAAATATGAAAACAATGAGCATTCCTGAAACGGGAGGTAATTTTATCACAGCTACTGGTAATGTGCTGAAAATTCAGAAAAAAATGAAATTTATCCATAAATGACACCAATTAATTAAAAAATTACAAAGATGATAAAATTTGAGATTTTAGGAATGACTTGGAGATCTCTAAAATTCACAGATCAAGCGTAATTTCTGATGTAAAGTTGTTCATTTATAGGTGACTTATAGTGGTGTGAAATTTTACTACAATTGGTTTCTGAAAACTGATTATCAATTATGATTGATTCTTTGGCTGGGCAAGTCTATACTTTCTAAAGATGTGAATGTAATACAGAATGATTTGAATATTCTCCAGCACTAGAATGAAAAACTTCTACCATTATGTATGTTCAAAGCTCAGCACCAAGATCTTTCCTGGGTTTTTAATGACAAACTACGATACACACAATTAAACAAAAAGATCAATACAGATCTGTGTTAGGAATACAATTAAAGGTCAATTTTCACTCGTATAAAATCACTGTAGAAAAAAGTCCATACGTAAAAATAGATTTTTTTATCTATAGCTGAAAATATTATTGATTAATTAATATCAAAAGCATTTCCAACTAATCAGTTATTTCATGTAGGCAGTACACTACTTGTGAAATACCATTGGTAGCCTTTGGAGTATTTTATCAATGTTATTCAGTAAGTAGAAAATAGGAATATAGTAACAGATATGAAGTTTCTGTAAAGTCATGGTTTCAATTTATTTTCAATTGTAAAAACAAGCAAGTTAACACATGAAACTGACTTTAATGAGTAATGTGTATTGAATCATTGATTATGAAACTGGAATAATTTTCTACCAATAACAACTACCTTGTTACTGTTATTACTTGATATGAATTAGGTTATGACCACAGGGATAATACAATGTAACCACTTGTGGAACTGAACATTTCCTGTTTTCTATCAAAGATCTCAGCATATCAGTGTTTTGGTTATCTACCTCCAAAACCTTGTTTTAGAAACGAGATTCATCATTTTTGGTATAGATTATTGAAGATGTTTATCTTCAACACAAACAACAATAAAAAACTAGTTAATTTTCAAAATGATCATTTTCCCTTATCAAGAAAGGAGTGCTAATGACTTGAGTTCTTATGATAGAGTAAAGCCATTAGCTGTTAAGTTTTCAATCTAATAAACATTTATGCAACAAATCCAATATGTTAGAAACTATATATATACTGTGAAGAATTGGTGAAAGTAAAATATTGTCTTTTAATGGTTACCATTGTCAGAATTTTTACTTATTTAGGATATAAAATATTTTTTATGCCAGGTTGTTCAAGAGGGCACAAATCCAGATTCATTGCCGTTTATGGATCCTAATGATCTCCATCTGGTGGGAGAGGTGTCAGCAAAGGTAGATAACTCCTTTTTAAGTCCAGTATTCAAACTGGTCAGCAGTAAATAACACCTGTTTAGTTTTATTTTGCTCATAGTTCTATTCTGTATTCCTGACACAATTTCTGGAATTAACACTTATTTTGTCTATTGATTTTTCCTTTTGCTGAATAATTATTCAAAATATTTGATAGAAAATAACACAGAAAATTTGTTTTCATATTTTCTGTGATACGGTTTTGATGAGACAATGTAATTGTTTTTTTTGCCATTTCCCAATATAGATACAACCAGTATTTGTGAATTTGATGAGTATAAATAGTTTTGTTTGTTCAGCTTTGTGATAAAAAAATATTCTCTTCATCAAATTTCATAATGAATAACCTTTAATTGACCTTCCTCCAGGCTCCAGTTGTGTATAACAGTTCTGGTGATGTTACGATTTATGCCATTGACTGTGGTATAAAAAACAACCAGATACGTTGTCTTTGTGAAAGAGGTGCAAAGGTCAAGGTTGTGCCGTGGGATTACCCAATAAACAGCAAAGGTAAGAGTAGAAGCCGAGAAATAGTGTCAGCTTTCTCCACTGAATGATTAAACTCTTATTTCAAACTTTGCATCTGTTACATAGTGGGAGTAAGATATACAAGAGCAGTCAACAGGTATTCTATAAATAGGCTGTTTTCATTAGTTAGCATTAGTGTACTTTCATACTTATATGAGCTACATGTAGTCTTAATTTTGTTGGTGTGAGATTTTAAGAAATTTTTGAAGAAATTCAAATGAGAAGAAAATTAAAACAAAAAATAAGTGTATCGATGAGCATTTGTAGGGCAACACAAATCTTGCTATTCTGGTCCAACCAAAGCAAAATGTTAATTCAGCTAAAGTCATCTTGATATAGGTATCATAGCTTCTAGTTTTACAACTCACTGACATTACAAGCTGCCAAAGTGAGTTTGATCGTACAACAGTACAACTAAGTTAACCATTGTTGGCAATCAAACTCGCCCATATTCACTCTTTCATGAAAAAGCTTCATGTAATACATGTACACACAATTTTATGCCAAGTAAAAAAGAACAGATAGGAATATAGTCAAGTTTTACATTGACAGAGACCATAATCATGTTCATCTGTATATTATCAATTGTTAAACACACATGTTAATTAATTGAGATATTTTGGGTTACATACAAATGTATTCCCAAAGAGTATAAGGTAAAAAGAATTCTATAAAGAATGTAAGATGGCCATCCTTCTATTCCATATATAGATACAAATTTGTATTTCATACTTGTACTCTTCTGTGCAGAAGGATTCCATGAGCATAATAGAATAATATTATAAAAGGGATTACTAACGTTTGATTATGTATAAGACACATTTTTTTCAGACTATGACGGCCTATTTATCAGTAATGGACCTGGAGATCCCCAGATGTGTGCCAAGACAATATCAAATTTGCGACAGGTACTTAACGAGGATGAATCCACCTGTAAACCTGTGTTTGGGATATGTCTGGGCCATCAACTCATGTCCCTGGCCATTGGGGCTAAAACCTTCAAAATGAAGTAAGTCTCTGTGTATGTTACAGCATTTCAATTCTAGCTTGTGCTAAAATTATGTCAGTTAAAGTCAGGCTTGTGCTAAATTCTGTCAGTTAAAAACTCTGGCCTGTGCTAAATTCTGTCAGTTAAAGTCTGGCCTACGCTAAATTCTGTCAGATAAAAGTCTGACCTGTGCTAAATTATGTCAGATAAAGTCTGACCTGTGCTAAATCCTGACACTTAAAGTCTAGCTTCTGCTAAATTCAGTCAGTTTAATACTGGCCTATGCTAATCTTGAGTCCCTTGCTTATGAGATTTTCAGGTTAATGTACCATAATGCTGAATCATTTACTGGTGTAGTACATATAAAATATAGACTCTTTTTACCATCCTCTATACTGTTATACTGTCTGTTTCATCTGGTTCGCTTCTGATACAGAAAATCTTACAGACAGAATTGTTCCTTTGAACTTATTGTTGATAATGAAATGTCAAGATAACAGCTGTTTTCTCCAGCAGAACATTAGCCATTAGGATAAATTTGCATACAGCAATGGAACTCAAGTTTTGAAATCTAGATTTTCTTGGGACGATCAATAGGACAATAAACTGATTATATGGTGGGACAAAATCCTGGCTAATTCATCCAGGCATATAACAAGTTATAGTAGACATCTTATGATATCAAATGTTATCATAGACCTTAGGAGATATTCCAGTTCAAAAGGTTAACAAAGGTTAACAAAGCTTAACAAAGGGTACATGTAAAATCAGTTGTCGGCATTTAATCAGTTACTCTGACACTATGGTAATAAATTGTCAACCTGTCTATAAAGATCACTTCTTAGAGATTAGCAGCCTTTCTGTAAGTGTTCAATTACTGTAAATTGTCAAACATTGAGTCCCAAAACCAGGTATTTGTTATAGCCATGTGTCCTTTATAGACAGATATTTGTTATGCAGAGGTGGTCTTTATAGACAGGTATTTGTTATATAGAGGTTGTCTTTATAGACAGGTATTTGTTATATAGAGGTGGTCTTTATAGACAGGTATTTGTTATAACCAGGTTATCTTAAAGGAAATTTTGACAGACTGACTTGTACAACTAGAAAAATAAATTAAAAGCTTTTGTTTATATTCATTTGAAAACAATAAATAGTAGATATTTGGAATAAATAAATAATTTCTGTTCATCATGGATTAAATAAATAGTAGATATTTGTACTAAATACATTATCACAACTGGTCATGGAAACAATAAATAGTAGATATTTGGAATAAATAAATAATTTCTGTTGGTCATGGATTAAATAAATAGTAGATATTTGTACTAAATAAATTATTTCTTTAGGTCATGGATTAAATAAATAGTAGATATTTGTACTAAATAAATTATCACAACTGGTCATGGAAACAATAAATAGTAGATATTTGTACTAGATAAATTCTTTTTTTAGGTCATGCTTGAAATAAATTGTAGATATTGGTACTAGATAAATTATTATAACTGGTCATTGAAAATAAGAAATAGTAGATATTTGTACTAAAAAAATGATTTCTTTAGGTCAAGAATGAAATAAATAGATATTTGTACTAGATAAATTCTGTTTATAGGTCATTGTTAAAATAAGTTGAAGATATTTGTACAAGATGAATTATTTCTTTAGGTCACAGATGAAATAAATAGATATTTGTACTAGAAAAATTATTTCAACTTGTCATAGAAACAATAAATAGTAGATTTTTGTACTAAACAAATTATTTCAACGGGTCATGAAAACAATATGTGTGCAGAATTAAAAAGAAAGTTACTAATAAAAATATTTGAATATATTTCAAAATCAGTTATTTCAACAGGTCATGAAAACAATAAAAAACGGATATGTGTGCAGAATTAAAAAGAAAGTTACTAATAAAAATATTTGAATATATTTCAAAATCAATTATTTCAACAGGTCATTAAAAGCAATAAATAATAGGTATTTGTACAAAAGAAATGAATAGTAGATATACAAAATATATTATTTCAATAAGTCTTTGAAAACAATAAATTAAAGATATATAATTATTGGAAGTACAGATGCCTTATATTAATTACTCTGTCCATCTGTCCGGCCTCACTCAAGTCTACTTTATAGTATATTTATATAAAATAAGTGATTTCATGAGATCATTGAAAACATTTACATGCACTATGTTTATCCTGCAGATAGTTAATGGACAAATACATAACCATTTTATCAGTGTATGGAGGTTGACATATTACACGACAATGACGTAGCCAATGTTTATCATATTATTGATATGGTTGAGTTAAACATTTGGTTTATTATCAGATGTACATCACTCTTATGAAAACTAAATCATTATTTAATTAACACTATGAAATACCTGAGCATATCATCACAGACAGTGCCTGGCTAGAAACATATACTGTATTTATCCTAAAATATGGCCTGATGGGAGTCAGCATACAATATCTGGCCTTGTCTATACTAGACAACAATAGATATAGGTGGACTAATACAGGACATGGCCTTATTGTTGGAAGCCAATCAATGTATGTACATATACAATACAGGGCATGGCCTTATTGTTGGAAGCCAATCAATATATGTACATAGATATACAATACAGGGCATGGCCTTATTGTTGGAAGCAAATCAATGTATGTACATATACAATACAGGGCATGGCATTATTGTTGGAAGCCAATCAATATATGTACATAGATATACAATACAGGGCATGGCCTTATTGTTGGAAGCCAATCAATGTATGTACATATACAATACAGGGCATGGCCTTATTGTTGGAAGCAAATCAATGTATGTACATATACAATACAGGGCATGGCCTTATTGTTGGAAGCAAATCAATGTATGTACATATACAATACAGGGCATGGCCTTATTGTTGGAAGCAAATCAATGTATGTACATATACAATACAGGGCATGGCCTTATTGTTGGAAGCAAATCAATGTATGTACATATACAATACAGGGCATGGCCTTATTGTTGGAAGCAAATCAATGTATGTACATATACAATACAGGGCATGGCCTTATTGTTGGAAGCAAATCAATGTATGTACATATACAATACAGGGCATGGCCTTATTGTTGGAAGCAAATCAATGTATGTACATATACAATACAGGGCATGGCCTTATTGTTGGAAGCAAATCAATGTATGTACATATACAATACAGGGCATGGCCTTATTGTTGGAAGCAAATCAATGTATGTACATATACAATACAGGGCATGGCCTTATTGTTGGAAGCCAATCAATATATGTACATAGATATACAATACAGGGCATGGCCTTATTGTTGGAAGCAAATCAATGTATGTACATATACAATACAGGGCATGGCCTTATTGTTGGAAGCCAATCAATGTATGTACATATACAATACAGGGCATGGCCTTATTGTTGGAAGCCAATCAATATATGTACATAGATATACAATACAGGGCATGGCCTTATTGTTGGAAGCAAATCAATATATGTACATAGATATACAATACAGGGCATGGCCTTATTGTTGGAAGCAAATCAATGTATGTACATATACAATACAGGGCATGGCATTATTGTTGGAAGCCAATCAATATATGTACATAGATATACAATACAGGGCATGGCCTTATTGTTGGAAGCCAATCAATGTATGTACATATACAATACAGGGCATGGCCTTATTGTTGGAAGCAAATCAATATATGTACATAGATATACAATACAGGGCATGGCCTTATTGTTGGAAGCAAATCAATGTATGTACATATACAATACAGGGCATGGCCTTATTGTTGGAAGCAAATCAATGTATGTACATATACAATACAGGGCATGGCCTTATTGTTGGAAGCCAATCAATGTATGTACATATACAATGCAGGGCATGGCCTTATTGTTGGAAGCCAATCAATGTATGTACATATACAATACAGGGCATGGCCTTATTGTTGGAAGCAAATCAATGTATGTACATATACAATACAGGGCATGGCCTTATTGTTGGAAGCAAATCAATGTATGTACATATACAATACAGGGCATGGCCTTATTGTTGGAAGCCAATCAATGTATGTACATATACAATGCAGGGCATGGCCTTATTGTTGGAAGCCAATCAATGTATGTACATATACAATACAGGGCATGGCCTTATTGTTGGAAGCAAATCAATGTATGTACATATACAATACAGGGCATGGCCTTATTGTTGGAAGCAAATCAATGTATGTACATATACAATACAGGGCATGGCCTTATTGTTGGAAGCCAATCAATGTATGTACATATACAATGCAGGGCATGGCCTTATTGTTGGAAGCCAATCAATGTATGTACATATACAATACAGGGCATGGCCTTATTGTTGGAAGCAAATCAATGTATGTACATATACAATACAGGGCATGGCCTTATTGTTGGAAGCCAATCAATGTATGTACATATACAATACAGGGCATGGCCTTATTGTTGGAAGCCAATCAATATATGTACATAGATATACAATACAGGGCATGGCCTTATTGTTGGAAGCAAATCAATATATGTACATAGATATACAATACAGGGCATGGCCTTATTGTTGGAAGCCAATCAATGTATGTACATATACAATACAGGGCATGGCCTTATTGTTGGAAGCAAATCAATATATGTACATAGATATACAATACAGGGCATGGCCTTATTGTTGGAAGCAAATCAATGTATGTACATATACAATACAGGGCATGGCCTTATTGTTGGAAGCAAATCAATGTATGTACATATACAATACAGGGCATGGCCTTATTGTTGGAAGCCAATCAATGTATGTACATATACAATGCAGGGCATGGCCTTATTGTTGGAAGCCAATCAATGTATGTACATATACAATACAGGGCATGGCCTTATTGTTGGAAGCAAATCAATGTATGTACATATACAATACAGGGCATGGCCTTATTGTTGGAAGCAAATCAATGTATGTACATATACAATACAGGGCATGGCCT